ATGTATGTCGCTCAATTTCTCTAGCACTCGTTTGATACAATGCCTCACCAGTTGTATGCCCTCTTTCTATCCCTGACTTGTTACACAGCAGATCTATATAGGCTACTATGCTTGTTTGCAGTAGAATGAAGAGAGTTATTTTGGTTTGATCAAAGTATGCTAAGGATGGAGTTACACTGTGAATTTATACAAGGATCAATGGTGAAGGCTTGTCAACCCAAGGGTTTTGATCCTTGGAAAGAGTTGATTCTTTCCAAGAATAAAGAACTATCCGTTGCTTCTCTTCAGACCTTTTCCTTCGGCAAATAACGGGTTTGACGGGATTCTTCCTTGATTGTTGGACCTTCCAATCTTGACCGCTGTCCGGATCTTCTAGCTTTAATAGTTCTTCAGTGATTTGATCTGACTCGACAATCACAGATTACGTTGAATCTTTATTCCATTATGGCAGATTTAATTTCCCAAAATCATGGAGCTAATCCTGATTTGCTGATGTAGTACTGTTTCTTTCCTTGTACATCGTAAGAATTTCAGGCAGCTTCCCTTCTGAATGATTTCCTTCCTTGTTCGACATAGCCGTTCCAATAGTTCCTTTTTACTTCTTTGAACTCCTGCACATGCATATTAATTGCATCATTAAAATATGATCTAACAGGAGCGAGATTGCTTCAATTTTGTTCGCAAGTGTCACCAATGCTAGATTCATGGTGACCTGATTCACTCGCCTCCCTCGGAGTTGCATCCCATGTCCATCTCCTTGGCCTTTTGTCGCTTGGGGAATGGATGTTATTGGGACAATCGAGCTAAAGGCTTCAAATGGGCATAGATTCAGTTTGGTTGCCACTGATTACTTCACCAAGTGGGTGGAGGCCGTCAATTTCAAAGCAGTCACCAAGGAAACAGTGGTAGACTTTGTCTATTCCAACATCATCTGTTGCTTTGGTATCCCAAAGACCATTATCACTGATAATGCAGCCAATCTAAATAGCCATCTGATGAAGGAGGTGTGCGAACAATTTAAAATCATGCATCGCCATTCTACCCCTTACCGACCAAAAGCCAATGGAGTCATTGAAGCGGTGAACAAGAACATCAAGAAGATTCTTAGGAAGATTATCCAAGGTTCCCGGCAATGGCATGAAAAGTTGCCTTTTGCTCTTTTGGGATATCGCACAGCTATTCGCACATCTATTGGTGCAACTCCGTATATGCTTTTATATGGAACTGAAGCTGTAACACCCGCTGAAGTCGAAATTCCCTCTCTCTGACTTATTGTGGAATCAGAGATTGAATACACTTAGTGGGTTAAGACCCGATTAGAACAACTGATGTTGATCGATGAAAAATGGCTAGCAGCAGTGTGTTTCGTCCAGTTATACCAGCAAAGAATGGCACGCGCTTACAATAAGAAAGTGCGCCCAAGGTAGTTTGAGGTAGGCCAGCTAGTTTTGAAACGCATCCTTCCGCACCAGGTTGAAGCTAAAGGAAAGTTCGCACCGAATCGGCAAGGACCCTACATAATCAAGAAAGTGCTACCAAAAGGGGCCTTGCACTTGGTAGATGAAGAAGGACAGGTACCAGACATGACTATTAATGCAGATGTAGTCAAAAGATATTATGTCTGATATATGGCCACTGTAGAACTTTCACGCATTAATTTTCTCAGATCGAGATGACGAATGCTATAATTTGCTCGTTATTCCTAATAGGTTTCACTCTTTTGTTAACCCCTTTGAGCCGTATTTGTCTTCTTTGTTTTACACCTTCTGGAACCTGTGTACTTGTCAAAAAAAAGAGAAAGAAAGAAAAAATAGTCAAACCACAACGCTTCGGAGTCATTGAATTACGTACGACCTGATTCCAAAAGGATACGTAGGCAACCTTACCCTGGGTTCAGTACCATTAGAACGAAAAATACATATTCCCAATACTCCAAAACTGGGGCAGAAGTTTGTTTTATTTTACGGTTTTTCTGTAAAAACGGTTCCAAAAGTTGTAATTCAGTTCAAGGTTCATTTTGCCTTTTTTACCTTTCAAGAACTTCTGATCGATTTTTTGAGAATGTTTAAAGTCCCCATGCCAAGGGCATTGGGCAACCTCCCTCATGCAGTATCTTAAAAGAAATGAGAGAGTCTTATCGGTGAAAACCCGTGCGGGCACTATAAGGCGACGGTGAGCAGAGAAATGAGAGAGCCTTATTGGTGAAAACCCATATGGGCACCATAAGGCGACAATGAGTAGAGAAATGATAGAGGCCAGTTAGTGAAAACCCGCAATGGGCGCTACTAGCCGAATGAGGGTCTTTGATTCTCTGGCATGAGCACAACCAAGACAATTTCAAGATGAACATTTGCGATGGATTTTGAGAATTAGACAGCTCAGACGGATCAGGCGTCCAGTCCAAAATACATGTCATGATTCATTGAAGTCGGCACATACCTCCAGATAAGTCTCCCTATTCCTTTCCCCGAAAGGGACACCTTTCGTTTAAGCACAGTTCTTTTTCACTTTCAATTATTATTCTGTTTTACCCATTATTTTTCTTTGAGTCCCTTTCGATCTAATCATGCATCAAAAGCAAAGCAAAGAAATGGCTGCAAAACTAGCTACAGTTTCCCCGTAATATCGAGCATAATTTGAGGCATATATAGCATTGACGAAGGCACAAATCCATCTGAGATCTCATTCAAGGTAGAATAATTTCGCCTAGGGGATCCAGCTCATATTTTTGGGTAGTACTCTTCGCCCAAGGTGTCTTACGCAGCTTAACTCAGTTAGAATCCTTTCGCCTAGGGGGATCCAGGTCATATTTTCGGGTAGAAGTACTCTTCGCTCAGGGTGTTTTACGCAGCTTAACTCAGGTAGAATCCTTTTGCCTAGAGGGATCCAGCTCATATTTTCGGGTAGAAGTACTCTTCGCTCAGGGTGTTTTACGCAGCTTAACTCAGGTAGAATCATTTCGCCTAGGAGGATCCAGCTCATATTTCCGGGTAGAAGTACTCTTCGCTCAGGTTGTTTTGTGCAGTTTAACTCAGGTAGAACCTTTTCCCCTAGAGGGATTCAACACTTTATCAGTAATACAAGTCTCCAACCCCTGGTTACATTTCTTCCTAGTAATAAAGGGCACCAACCCCCAGTTACGTTTCCCCTCAGTAACACAAGGTACCATCCTCTAATTCCATTCCTTTTGGTAACACCGGGTACTATCCCGTGGTGGCATATCTTCACATAGAAGTTTATACTACTATTTTGTCTTTTTTTAGTTAATTAGGTAATTTACAACTTTCTCTAATAACTCACAAAATATTCCTAGTGCCAGACTGGGGCAAAAAATTTTTGTTCATTTTGTTCGTCTTTGATGGCTTTACAGGACCCTGCCGTAAAGCACATATTGTAGAGACTAAAGCTTACAATTTCAGTTCTCATCGGAAGAAAGAAGATTGTTGATCATAAGACAGTTGGAGTTAGTTTTGATAAGGTGTCAGCAACAAAGCATTCTCAATTTTTGTGTATTTTAGTTTGCATCTTTAAAGTATATATACCAAAAAAAAAGATTTTATTTCTACTTGTACATTTTTTTAGGACTAAAGAAGACTATTAATTTCATTGGAGAGAAAAAAAGGTTTGGACTAGTGTATTTTAATTAAAATTGTATCAAAATTGGCCCAAAATTTGAGCCTAATTCGGCCATACCCGGTCCATTAGGTGGTTGGCCATGAAAGAGCTCAAAACGACGTAGTTTTGTCTTGAAACTACGTCGTTTTGGTTAAATGACAAAGTTTCAATCTCACCCATCCATTCCCTCATGATCCAATGGTCATTATCTATCCCCCACCCCAGGTATATAAAGCCTAAAATCCCCAAAATTTGCCCTATTTTCCACCTTAATTCCTCTCTTCTTCCTCTCTCTTCTCTCTCCCGGGTCCTCTCCTCGCGCCGCCTGCCGGAATTCACCACCGGAGGCGTCCAACCTCCAATCCACCCTAAAATTTCACCACTTCTTCCGCTCAACCTCCTCTCCATGAATCCGAACCCGAATATCCCATAACCCTTCTCAATCTCCGTAAATCTAAGCTTAACCGAAACTCTAGCCGCCACCCACCACCACAAGCTCCAAAACTTTTACACCACCGGCCTCCCCTCACCCTCCTCTTCTCCATTCCCCACCCCAAAACCTTCCAAACCCCTCCAAAATTCGACAATTTTCGGCCAGCCACCGTCGACCACCCTACTGTCACCGATTCTGCCGCCGCCCAGCTTCAGTCTAGAAAAATACGGCCCCTTAGTCTCTCTTTCTCTTTGACACAGTGCTGGACTCAACTTGGTTCGCCATAGTTCGTGTTTTTCTAGCATTTGTCATCGAGAAAAAGAGGCGTGGAGGTCGATTCGCCATCTAGTTTTGTTGTACTACTGATTTGGAGCCCGAGCGTTTAGGTAAAATGCTAATCCCTTGTTCATCGATTTTAGTTTCTCCTTTATTGACTGATTTTTAGATTTTTAGTTTAGTTTAAGTTTTGATTTTTTTTCTTTTCTAAATTGTGTTGGTCATATGTTCAGTTTCTTTCATAACTACAGTTTGGTTATGCTCATTAACGATTCTCTTAATACTTCTATTAGCTCTATTCGATTTTTGATTCATGTGATGAATTTGATTGAAGTTCGAATTAGCAAGTTAGTTTGGTATTGTTGTTGATAAAATCAGAAATTAGATGGGTTTGATCATGACTTAGGGTACTAGTAGCTTACTTTTGACTAGTAGGGTGGTTGAAATGACATTTCTTTCCTTGCTTCTGCTATAGCAGATTTTAAGGCTGTCCTTTCACCTTTTGGGACAGCCTTTGAACAGTGTTTAGCACACAAAGTCAGTTCCTTTTTGGACAAATTTTAAGTGAACCAAAATCTTCCCAAAAAGTGGCTTTCTTTGCCTACTTAAGGGCTGCCCTTTCTTCATTTTTAGGGTGGACTCCATCACACTTCCATACATCTTAAGAATTGCTTGAACACACAAAAGCATAAAAAATTTCAGCGGTTGAACACATGAAAAGTAAGCTGAAAATCATGAGTTTTTGGTTGAGCCTTAGAGTGTAAAATCTTTCAAAAACATATAAGAGTCTTAGAGTTTGATTCTTGAGTTCCTTCTCCTAAAGAATCACTACTTTTAGTGAGATTTCTGGGCTGTTTTAGCACGGATTCACTGCTGTTTTCGTCGTTGTTTCTGCTGTCTTTGTTTCTGATTTTCTTCCCTTTCACTACTGAATTTTATCTTGTTACAAATCAGGTAACCCTTGAACCTTTGTATTGCAGATTCTTGATGACAATGAAAAGATTTGAACCCGTTTGATTAGTGGAACATGGAATATCTGATTTTGAACCAAGATAATTGTTGCATCAATATTATAGCATGTAAATATGTTGTATTGAGCCATAACTTTTATTTTTGTTCATAAAACAATACTTTGTTGGTGTGTTATTTAGTTGCTAAAAGGTCTATCTCTTTTGTCTACTCCATTTTTGTTAAGCTTAGCAAATGTTCCATTACCTATTTGTTCTTCCATCATATATTTTTTTTTCTTAAAATTACGCTGTCTCTGTTTGTTTATCTATTTTCATTGTTTGTTATGTACTTTGAGTTGGATGATAGATTAGATGCCATTTTTAGTGTCTTGTGACTCTTTTGATAAATGGTGAAAGATTAATTTTGAATTAAGAGAAGTTTCTTGTAAGCTAAAAGTTAAGTAGATCTAGGGGTTTTAGTTTGGCATAGTGGTTAGTTTTTGTTACGCGCCAATTTCATCTCCTGACTCGTATCTGTATTACTAATAAGCTAAGAGTTTTATCACTATTATTTGCTTGCCGGGTTACTTTCAGGCTAATTAGATAGTAGTATTTATCTATTAGTATTAAATAAATTAGTAGTAGTCTTTTGGAACAAATAGGCCATGATGTATCATGTAAGAGATAAAGTAATTTGGCCCAATAAATTAGGTCCAGGTCTGAAGCATGCTAGATGGCCCATATTTTTTATTATAACTATGTGGGCCAAGAAACTCAATTTCTGCAAGCCCAATGACAATTAAGCTAGATGGCCCATTCCTTTCTTCTTTATAAAAAAAAAACCATATAAGTAAAGTGTTGGCCTATTTCTCCTAAGATAACCCTGAGTTAGCCCAAATGATTAAAAACAAAGTTTCATCCATAGATCCAATAAAGTGTATGTCTTTCTTTTTTTTTTATAATTTTTTTCTTTTCTTGATAGCTTAATTATTTT